CTGACATCTATTTTGGCATAGACTTCACAGAACCAGTTTGATATATGGAATATAGATTTATTTCCCCAACTCTTATTAATGGGTAATCTTATGTAAAAACAATCTTTGTTTAAAAATCTTCATTTTAAATCTTACCGTGACCAAAATATATATTATTACACAAAATGCTATTTTCCTGAAAGGAAATTACTCTCTCAAAAGACTGCATTCCAAAACCAGAGTTTTTGTTTCCTTGCAAGTTTACTAGGAAGGGAATTCTTGTGGAGTTGGACATCTTTTATGCTAGTCAGTATTTTAGTTATTGCACCATTAAACATGGCTAGAAATGAGCAATAGAAATGTAAGGCAATGGTCTCTCACTGTGCGATTTTCCCCTTTATCTTTAAGAGTGGGAGTACAAATGTTGCTGCTTGGTCAATTTTTCTTGACAATTTCAAGTGTTCATTTGGTGATGTTATTCAAAGGTTTACACATAAGCAGGACTTCACTACAGGCCAAGCAGTATGTGAAAAGTCAGTCCAGAATCAGCATTTTTAATGAGAGGGTCTAGAAGAATATTATTGATCCTCTGTTTGAAATTAACTTACTTGTTTCTTACAAGTTGCTTGGCAAATCTTTGTGAAAATGAGGTATTGCAGTTTAATTCTTAAGCCAAATGTGCACTGTTTAAAACCACATCTTTCTCCCCCACTGTATACCTAAGACAATAAAAATCTTATAGGCATCTTATAGGAAGTCCAAGATTTTCCAAAGATAATGATATCAACCAATTACTTCAGGTCAGAGAAATTCTGTGAAAATGTACATTGTCATTGGGTGGATTGAGTCAAATTAAGATATTACAGTGTAAAGCCCTAACCCTCAAACATTTATGTATGTGTCTTCAGTGGAACTTCGCACATGCTTAACTTTCAGCATGAGTGCAAGTATTTACAGGATTGGGCCCTATTTACTAACTCTTATGTTAGTAATGCTCCAAACACCCACACTAAGTCCCAGAAGTGAATTGGATTTCCAAGTGTACTACCCTATCTATTGTTTTATAAAATACCTTGTGTATAAAATGTTTAAATATGTGGATTAAGTTTCACAAGTATATTTTTAAGATTTAAGTTAAAAAGTTAGTCTGGCCTTTTTAGCCTACACATGCAATTAAATATACTGTATCTTTAGTCTATGATGCCCTAGTTACTGCTTAGTCTGTGATGAAAACTTTGCTGCTTACCTAATGTTCTCAGAGAAAAACTGTAAAAGATACAAAGATTTGTTGCACTTGACATACTGCAGCAAAGCTTTGTATTTGATCACTGGTAATATGAATGTGTTGTATTGACTTGTTGAGGATAATCATGAAACAACATATTTTAAATGTTACTTGCCTTATAGATTAGGATACAAATATGTGGATATCATTTTTGTAAATAATGTTTTTTATAAATGTCTTTCCTTCATATTTCCCAATGACCCATTTCACAAAATCCTGAATATGCAATTATTTACCATATAAACTATTACAACAAATAAGGTCCCAATTTCAGAACAAAGTTTATTAATTCTATACATAAGAACAAAATTAAGTACCTGATTAAGTTGTAATTTAAATGTGATTTTTTTCCTTGAAAATAAATGAAAAACATTAAAATACTCTATTTTTTTGTTTTGATCAGTTTCCAAATGTAGTATTTGCAATGTTATTACCACAAGTTTAAACATATGACAATGAATCAGAATTTTCTGCTGTTATCCTTGGCACCATAAATGATGAGTAATGCTTTCCCCTGTCAAAACATTTATATGGTTTTATTTTAGTCACTTTTGCTAATTTAGTGCTGAAGAAAGGTAAGGGTCCC